GGCGGAGGAGCTAGGGTGGAGATAGGGCTAAACAAAGCAGGGGGTCCTACGCCTAACGCTGCATGGGAAGCTAGGCTAGGCACACTGGGCACACCTATACTATGCAACACGAGGTAATAGGAACCAATCACACTAGATTCATTGACATATAGTGCATACAATGCAAAGCTAATCTCATCCATGTCTATATCAAAGATCCTAACACCACGGCGGAGGGCCCATTCACCAGATCTCCCTGTTTCCCCATCCATAGGTTTCTGTCGCCTCGCTCCTCTGTGTGCTTGGTTGTGTTTGTTCCTGATTTCATTTTGAATATGAACTTACTCATCTTCTTAGCCTACTTGCGGGTTTGCGAACAGGGTCAAACATATTTTGTACTGGTCTTATAGGCTAGATAGGTGTATACCCTTAGAGGGTACAACCACTTAGACAAAACCACCATGTTTGCCTCATTCCAGTCAATCATTCTCACGTTATCCGTCAGTGCGCCCATAGCCCCCCAGGCTCTGCACCTGTGGCCCTTGATAAATGTGTAGTGTTCTGTGGTGTAGTTTGCTCTAGCTGGTTGTGGGCTATTGGGATTTGGGCAGAAGAACTTAGGTTAGTTGGCACGGTTTGATCTCATTACCTTTCCAACCCATTCAACCTCAAACCCACTACAACATCTTTGATGTTACAGATGTGGCACTTGGGACTTGTGGCGTTTGGTCTAGGGCGAGGGTTGGTGGTGTTTGACAATCACATACTCAAACTTTTCCAGATCCAACGGCTTCCCTTCTCATTTTTACTAGGTGATTCATGGCTGCTTAGCCAAATTACCAGAATATTCTCTCACACTGATTTCGTCATAATCGGCGGCTCAGATCTTGGTTATGAACGTGATTTACCATTCTAGAAAGTAGATATTAAGACCTTTCCAACGCATATAAGCTCATTTCTAGAAGTTACCTGAGCTGCACGCAATGTTCCATTGAGGTCGTCAGACTTAATCTCTAATTAGTTCTCTCCAGATTTGCACGATTTCCATCAGCCCTTCCCCGAGGATCTTCTCAAGGGTAACCCCAGCGGGTCACCCGACAAGAGCCAGTCGAGGAGGTTTGGTGCGAGGCCGAAGCGGAGACGAAACAAGTCGTCCAGGCGACTGAAACAACAAGTGGCGGTATGGCTGATCTTACTGCGTACGAGGCCGCGGCGAGGACCGGTCTGAAGCTGGTATTGGCAGGGCCCGTCACTCGCACCACCACCCGACGACGAGCTATGCGCACAACCACCGCGACCATCACCACCACCGGCACCAGGCCACCCAGGCGAGAGGTGGCCAGCTCGTCGCTGCTGCTGCTGTGGCTGATGCGGCTGCTGCTGCTGCTCATGGTGTGGTTTTTACTGCTGCTGCTGCTGCTGCTCCGAGGCATCAGCCCCAGCCCCTTCGTCGGTACTACCAGTGAATGAACCACCTCCACCAACACCTCCACCCCCTCCTCCTCTACCACCGCCACGCCCAGCCTTGGGGCGGCGACCCTTACCCGGACGAAACTGCGCTGCGGCCACTGCGGCGGCGGTCTCCGTAGCAGGGGCTGTCTCAGCGACAGCAGCAGAACCGTCAGAGTAAGTGCACTGAGCGGGAGCACAACCCTGAAACATAGGGACCAGCGCAGTACCCCTGGACTAAGCGATAGAGCGCTGACGAGTCTCTATGGCCGACAGAGTGTCGACGAAGTTAGTGAGGGTGAGGTCAGCGAGGTGCACACTGAGAAAGTAGTCACGGGCAGTAGTAAGTCGGTCAGGGAGGCGGTTGGCAAGCAGGTAAAGGGTAGAACACACAGGGGGCTGCAACACACAAAGCTGGGCCTCAGTGCTGGCAGCGCGCCAGCTCACATCTAGCGTGCGCAGTTGCGTGGCCAAGTCAGCGACAGTGGAGAAGGACGCGAGATCAGAGAAGAGCATGGGAAAGATCAAGCGGCTGGTAGAGGCGCAGGAAGGGTGGACTAGCGCTTCACAACAGCCTCTAGGAACTCCTGCGCGGCCCTGACTCACTTAAAGCGGGGGCACTCAGACAGGGGGAGGGCATGAGTAATCACGAGCTGCACAACAGCGTCACATGACAACCGGACAGCACGGGCAAGGGCAGCAGCAGCAGCGAACTCACGGGCAAGAGCAGCAGCGGCCGCGAACTCAGCAGACGGGGGTTCAGCGGGGAAGTCAGCAGGGGGGTCAGGATAGGGGAGCGTACCATCGATGTGGATGGCCAGGGAGTGGTCGTCCTACCGCTGACCAGTGAGCTGACGGCGGAGGTTGACGAGCCACGCGTCAAACTCAACCAGCTGACCCTCCGCGTCAAAGCACAGCACCGAGTCCGCCATCATAGCCGTGGCAATAGCGAACAGGCGGTGAAGGGCGGTACTGAGCGATGTGGTGCGGTGGAGAGCAGTGCTGTGTGGTGCAGCGCGGTGGAACGCAGTGCAGTGCGGTGCTGCACGGTGTAGAGCTGTGCATTACGGTG